TCAAAGCACCTGAATATGAAGTCGTAGTGTAATGAGTTTGTATGTACATATCACATTATGCAAATAAAGCTAAATTATACTGCCTACCATGTTTTTTAAACCTAATTTGAGCTTGCTTTTATATTTTTCATATATTATTTTGATGATAAAATCAATATTTTTAGTGAAATTCAATTAAAATAGATAACTCCCTAGTCTTACATGTATCTTTTGCAATAAATTTTGTGTATATATTTTGTTTAAAAACCCTATATGTATATCAGTCTTGTATGCAGAAGTATTTCAAATAACATTTATAGTGATTGTTTTTAATAATTGTGACTGCTTTGTAATTGGTTAGATTTTCATGACACATCATGTGACCCTTAATGCTGTCCAATCATACAACCTGTTACATATCTGTCCTCATAATGTAACATGTGACCCTTAAAGCTGTCCAATCATAGAACCTGTTACAAATGTGTCCTCATGATGTAACATGTGACCCTTAAATCTGTCTAATCAGAGAAATTTCATCAAATTGATAGTTCATGTTCTCCAAGGCATTAATTTCTGCTGCGTACTTACATTTTCATACATTGTTATTTATCATATTTACTTGAACTATATTTATATATGAGTATTGTTGTAAAAAATATGCCAGTAATGTTGACTCACTGTGAAAAGTTTAAGTTGTTATGCTATAATAAAAATATCTGCCGGAATATCTTATTTCCAACACATCGTTTTGTAGAATAATTTTTTCTCATTACATGTACGTTTAAAAATTGATTTTTCTACAATTGGTGATGCTAAAAATTCATCAAAATGAAGCATTTCTGCCGTGCTGAAATCAGATCTTGATTGTGTTCATTCAAACTTGGTACATGCATTGGACACTATGGGTTCTAGTTGCACATAATTTTGTTTATCAGAACGATATTAAAATGGAAGACTGGTGGCCATTTTGAGCATAATTTTTGTATTCTGGTTTCAACCTGTTAACGACAGACACTCGTAGTATCTTATAACGCATAACATATCCAACATAGAACCTGGGAAAAGTCCCAACAGATAATCATTTAGTTTGGACTATTCAAAACTCAAAAGAACTCATAACAGACGAGGTAACCATGATTTTCTGGCTATGTCACGCAAACTAAAAGTATGTATGAGAAGGAGGTGTTAATTTCACTCTCCCATGCAGATTCTTCGAGCTTATGACCTGACCCAGGGAGCCACAGAGAGCCACAACTAATGGGGCGTTCCTTAGCTTAGTGACAAAAAAAAACCCATAGTCTCTGTGAAGGAGAATGGGTTAAATAAAGCTGAGTAATTTTTTTTTATATTTTTTTTCAAATATTTTGATCAACATTTGTGAGTTTGTTTGTCACATATGTAGATGTATGATAACCCAGGAGATCTAAAAATAATGAGAGGAGGGTGAACTTAATTCAATCCTACTTGAATATTTTGTTTAGAAGCTATTATATTATGTACTCTCAGCGCAACAAGGGTTTTTGTTTCACTGTGCTCGTTGATTGACTTGTTGGATTCAACTGCCTTTGACATTTATAAATACTCATAAAGATGAAAGGAATACCTTTGTTTCGCTGATAGTACACCACAGGGAGTATGTAATATACAGTATCAGTAAACGAAGTATTTTACTTGTAATTTCCAGCTGGTACATCAGCGTAGTTATTTTTAATGAACCATGATTACAATGCGCAGGAAGTTGGGCTAGTTTGGCTTACCATGGGTTTACCGCACTTCCAACAAGAGTTTGGGGTTGGGGAAGATTATATAAACTCAATATACTATAGAAAATAAATCCGAGAAATCCTATATAACACTAATCCAGCCCTTAACACCTGTCAGGAAATGGGATAGCTTAAATTACAATTTGAGTGCTCCCATGACATCTCGATGTCACTGGATGCCACTAAACATGCGGGTGTGGAGACTCGTCTATGTTTTATTCCTTTCCTTTTCATAGTGGAAGTGTGATCTTGAAACGCCGGTTAAAACAATAGACAGTCTGACCACGCGCCCTCTAACATTGTACATCCATGCATATATCCATGCGGGTAATATTGTCTAATCATGCCATGCGTTTTGTGTCACGTGATTTACCTTATATAATAATTTGTACATGAATACTGAAAAACAAAACTCCCGTATTGGCTTGTGGTCATCTGCCGTCGCCCAGGTTGAAAATGTGTGCTCAATTTGTCATCTTCTGAATATGCACTCAATTTCTAAATTAATATATAGTATCCCATTTTCTGAAACTCCAGTTGGAAGTGTCCATGGTTGGGGTTGGCCATTATAGTTGAAGTTCATATCGTCCTTCCAACTTAATAATTGATCACGTTTCCAAAATTCTCCAATGGATAGGACGGGCAGTGAAACAGTCAGAGAAACAAAAAAAACAGACGCGGACTGAGAATCCACTGCCACTAGACGGCGCTATACACTGAATCTAATAAAATAGCTAGATGGTGTACAGCACAGAATACTGAACAGGCTATATCCTGGGCTAATCTGCACTGGCTCGGAAGGTTGTAAATGATTAGCTAGTTTGAATTTGCATAACAATACTGACAATGAACGTGCATTCAACGCCACAAGTTTTTTTGTTTTTTTAGCCAATCAGAATTCATCTTCCGAGCCAGTGCAGATCAGTGCAGATCAGATCAGTGCAGATCAGTGCAGATCCAGTATATCCTCAGGGGCGGAGCTACGTCACAGACGTTCCACGTTGCTAAGACGCGCACCACTGTACCATGCATTTCTATGGGCTCTGTGCGCGCTGCTGTGGAACGCCGGTCGAGCCGGTGAAAATTCGAGAAAACAACATAAACTCAACTTTAAAGTAATCCCGAACAACCAAATTTATATATGTTACACACGTAGGGCTAATTTTGTTGCACTGTTCAGAGGAGTCTCAACAATCATCCCGAAGTACCGTTTTATGAGAGTTTTGGGCTTTTGTTTTCACCGCCGCGGGTTGCCAGGCGGTGAAAATGCCCGGATGTCCGCCCCCGAGGATACGTGTAGCAATCAACCAAATTTATACCGAAAACAAATTTATAACAATGTGTCCTCTGTTTACAATGTGTTTAAAGTTCTTCTTCTAAGTTGTCAGAAATCCGTTTAATTCATCTACTGTCAGAACCCAGCGAGAACAAGCCCATTCCCTCATCTTTATAAATGTTTATAAATTTCACAATTAAAACTGAAACGAGAGGTTTTTATTGGATG